TTTTTTAACAATATTGATTTTTTCAATCCATTGACATGGAATATTTTTCCATTTTTGTGTGTGTACGCTTTAATTTCTTTCATCAATGTTTTACAGTTTTCATTGTAGAGATCTTTAACATTCTTTGGTTAATCCCTAGGTATTTTATTTTACTTCTGTTACTTTGTTATTTGTTTTCTGGTTGTTTTATAGTCTTCTCTTCCTTCCTTCTTTCTTTCCTTCCTGTCTTCCTTGAGTGAAGGTAGTTTTCTCTGGTGATATGATTTAGTTTCTTGCTTTTTATTATTTGTGTATCCATTGTATATTTTTTGGCTTGAGGTTACCATGATGCTTGCAAATACTATCTTATAACCCATTATTTTAACCTGATGTATTAGTCCATTTTTATGGTGCTGATAAAGACCTGAGACTGAGCGATTTAAAAAAGAAGCAAGTTTATTGGACTTACAGTTCCATGTGGCTGGGGAGGCCTTTACAATCAAGGCAGAAGGTGAAAGGCGTGTCTCACATGGCAGCAAACAAGAGAAGAGAGCTGGTGCAGGGAACTCCCCTTTTTAAAACCATCAGATCTCTTGAGACTTACTCGCTGTCATGACAACAGCACAGGAAATACTTGCCCCCATGATTCAGTTACCTCCCACAGGGTCCCTCCCACAACACATGGGAATTCAAGATGAGATTTGGGTGGGGACACAGTCAAACCATATCACCTGATAACAGGTTAACACTCTTTATATAAACAAACAAAAAACTAATAGAAACTGTATGCCTTAACTTCATCCTTCCCACTTTTTAACTTTTTCTTGTTTCTGTTTATATCTTATTGTATTGATTATGTCTTGAAAAGTCATCATAGTTATTATTTTTGATTGGTTCATCATTTAGTCTTTCTACTTAGGATAAGAGTAGTTTACACGCCACAGTTACAGTGTTATAATATTCTGTGTTTTTCTGTGTACTTATTATTACCAGTGAATTTTGTATCTTTGGGTGATTATATATTGCTCATTAATGTCCTTTTCTTTCTGATTGAAGTGCTGCCTTTAGCATTTCTTGTAGCAGAGGTCTGGTATTGATCAAACCCCTCAGCTTTTGTTTGTCTGGGAAAGTCTTTATTTCTCCTTCATGTTTGAATGATATTTTTGCCAGATATAGTATTCTAGGGTAAAAGGTTTTTTTCTTCAGCAGTTGGAAATATATAATGCCAGTCTCTCCTGGCCTGTAAGGTTTCCACTGAAACATCTGCTACCAGACCTATTGGAGCTCCATTGTATGTTATTTGTTTCTTTTCTCTTGCTGCTTTTAGGATCCTTTCTTTATTCTTGACCTTTGGGAGTTTGATTATTAAATGCCTTCAGGTAGTCTTCTTTGGGTTAAATCTGTTTGGCGTTCTATAACTTTCTTATACTTGAATTTTGATATCTTATTCTAAGTTTGGGAAGTTTTTTGTATTATCCCTTTGAATAAACTTTCTATCTCTGTCTCTTTCTCTACCTTCTCTTTAAGGCCAGTAGCTCTTAGATTTGCCCTTTTGAGGCTATTTTCTAGATCCTGTAGGCATGCTTCCTTGTTTTTTATTCTTTTTTCTTTTGTCTCTTCTGTGTATTTTCAATTAGCCTGTCTTCAAGCTTGCTTATTCTTTCTTCTGCTTGATCGGTTCTGCTGTTAAAGGACTCTGATGCATTCTTCAAGAGTCTCTTCGTTGAATTTATCTGGTAGTGTTCTGAATCCCTTCTCTGTGTTATCTTGAGTTTCTTCAGAACAGCTATTTTGAATCCTCTTCTGAAAGGTCATGTATGTGTTTCTCCAGGATTGGTCCCTGGTGCCTTATTTGGTTTATTTGATGAGGTCATGTTTTCCTGGATGGTGTTGATGCTAGTAGATATTCTTCTGTGTCTGGACAATGAAGGGTTAGGTCTTCACTGTCTGGGCTTATTTGTAGCTGTCCTTCTTGGGAAGGCTTTTCAGACATTTGAAAGGACTTAAGTGTCATGATCTAAGCTGTATCTGCCTTAAGCGTTACCCTAAGCCCAGTAACACTGTGGTTCTTGAAGACTTGTAGAGGTACCACCTTGATGGTCTTAGACAATATCCAGGAGAATTCTCAACCAGGCAGAGACACTTGCTCCCTTCCCTTTCTTCCAAACATACAGAGTCTCTCTTTCTCTCTCTCTGTTCTGAGCCACCTAATACTGAGAGTGGAGTGACACAAGCATCCCTGTGACCACCACCACTATGACTGCACTAGGTCAAAGTCCCCTTTACTTTTGCCTCTGCAGTAGGTCTAGACTGCACTAGACCTGAAGCCAGCATAGCACTGTGTCTCACCCAAGGCCTGCTGTAACCACTCCCTTGCTACTGCCTGTGTTCACTCAAGGCCCTAGGACTCTACAATCAGCAGGTGGCAAAGCCAGCCAGGCCTGTGTCCATCTCTTCAGCGTGGCAAGTTTCCCAAAGTCTTGGATTGGTCCAGAAGTGCCTTCCAGAAGTCAGGGACTAGAGTTAAAAATCTTAGAAGTCTACTTGGTGTTCTGTTGTACTGTGGCTGAGCTGGCACTCAAACTGCATGACACAGTCCTTCCCACTCTTCCCTCCCCTTTCCAAAGAGAGGAGCTTCCCACTTGTAGCCACTGCCACTCCAGGCCATGAGGAGTACTGCCAGACTACCACCAATGTTCCCTTAAGGTCCAAGGGCTCTTAAGTCAGGTTGTCATGAATGCTGCCTGGCTTGGGCCTTACCCTTCAGAGTAGTGGGGTCCCCTCTGGCCCAGGGCAAGTCCAAAAATGCTGTCCAAGAGTCAAGTCCTGAAATCTGGGACCCCACAGGCCCCCCTGTGGCCATGCTGGTACTTAAGGTACAAGACAAAGTCCCTTTTACTTTTGCCTCTGCTTTTCTCAAGCAGGAGTTTTGCTCTATAGCCGCCACAGCTAATTACGTGCTGAGTCTCACTTGCAGCCAGCAAGTCTCAGAGGTTCACCCAAGGCTGTCAATGTAGTGCCTGGGTATGGCTGCTGGTTTTTCAGGGCCCAGGGGCTCTTCATTTAGCAGTGATGAATGCTGCCAGGATTGGGTTTTCTCCTTCAAGGCAGCAGGTTCCCTTCTACCCAAGATGTATTTAGAAATGTCATCTAGGAGCTAAGGCCTGGAATGAGGACCTCACAACTGACCAGTGCCCTATCCTGCTATGGCTGAGCTGGTACCTAAGATCAAGACAGTGTCGTCCCCACTCTTCCCTCTCCTGTCCTGTCCTCTCATCTCCTCTCCTCTCCTCCTCAAATGGAAGGAAGTGGTCTCTTTTAGAGCTGTGAGCTGTGCAGCCTGGGGTTAGGGAAGGGGTGATGGCAGCACTCCCTTGGCTGCCCCAGCTGGAGTCTTAGTATGTCTCCTGCCTGCCTCAGTCCACTGTCTCTAGGCCTAGTTTAGCACTAAGACTTGCCTCAGAATTGCAATGCTTGTGGCCTAGACTGCCTTTCAAGTTTACTTGGAGACACAGAGGGCAAGGTTTGTGGGAACTCATGTTTGGACTGCTGGGATTGGTGGTTCCCCTTTGGCTGGGGCTGGGTTAAATATTCCCTCTGTGGGTAGACATCAGCTGAGTTTGGTCCGGTTTTTCCTTTTTGCTCTAACAGGACAGAACTGAGTTCAATGCCTCACAGTTGCTGTGTTCTCTTTTTCCCAGTGCCCAGAGAAGCTCTCTGTACCGCACCGCTGCTGCTGGGGGTGCGGGGAGTGGGTGTTGGCAATTCAGGACTGTTTTTTCTATCTCTTCAGTTCCTTTTTCAGCAATATGAAATTAAAACTAGGTACTATGAGTGCTCACCTGATTTTTGGTTCTCATGAAGTTTTTTTTTTTTTTTTTTTTTTCTGTGTAGATAGTTACTAACTTGGTGTCCTTGTCGGGGAGTTGGGGGCATGATAGGTGGAGCTTTCTATTCTGCCATCTTGCTCCACCCTCCAATTTTATTTGTTCAGGCTGGTCTTAAGCTCCTGGGTTCAGGTGACCCTGATGCCTTGGACTCCCAAAGTGCTGAGCCACCACACCTGGCTGCACAAATATTTTTAATTTTGATGAAGTCCAGTTTATTTTTTTCTTTGGTTGCTTGTGCTTTAGATATCATATCTAAGAAACCATTGCCTAATCCAGGGTTACAAAGAGTTATAAAGTTTTAGCTCTTAAATTTAGGTCTTTGATCCAGTTTAAGTTTTTATATATGGTGTGAGGTAGGGATCAGCCTCATTTTTTGCATGTTGTCCAGCACCATTTATTGAAATGACTAATCTTTCCTGCTGTTGCATTGTTTTGGTAATCTTGTTAAAAATCTGTTGACTATAGATACATGGGTTCATTTCTGGATCCACAGTTCTGTTCCATTGATTTATGTGTTTAATCTTAGGCCAGTTTCACAGTCTTGATTACTGTAGCTTTGTAGTAAGTTTTGACATCTATAGTTTTAAGCGTTTTAATTGTATGTTGAGTGTTTTTATTCTTGCTTTTTTTCTAGCCTTCTGAAATTTTCAAGGGGGCCTGGATTTTATAGACATACACATACATGTATGTTTGTTTGGAGGCTGGATCTCATAACAACATCTTTCCTAGGTTTAATATTTTAAATTAGACTAGTGAAAGGTAAAGAGGAGTATATAGTAACCAAATTTACAGGAACTAAATGCTTAACATGTTAACACCTGATATATTTTTCTCAACATTTTAAAATAAAATTTTGAGGTATAATTTTATTTAAACAAATTGGACTTACAGAAATTTAGAAAATCCAGTATTGAAATATTTGTTCCGACACTTGTATTATAATTTAATTATGAGGTAACTGGTATCATGAAGTCTGGATCCCATAGGTAACACTGAAAAGACATTATGGAAGGGAGAAATCAAAATATTTTAAGTGAAGAGATAATAAAGACAGTGCAAGATGATTACATTTCTTGATATGTATAATTTGAATGAGATTTTCAGTTTTCTTCTTTTTCTTCCCATTTTTAGATCCAGCTATGGGACACAGCAGGACAAGAACGATTCAGAAAGAGCATGGTTCAGCACTACTACAGAAATGTACATGCTGTTGTCTTCGTGTATGATATGACCAACATGGCTAGTTTTCATAGCCTACCATCTTGGATAGAAGAATGCAAGCAACATTTGCTAGCCAATGATATACCACGGATTCTTGTTGGAAATAAATGTGATTTGAGAAGTGCCATTCAGGTACCCACAGACTTGGCACAAAAATTTGCTGACACACACAGTATGCCTTTGTTTGAAACGTCTGCTAAAAACCCCAATGATAATGACCACGTGGAAGCTATATTTATGACCTTGGCTCATAAGCTTAAGAGCCACAAACCATTAATGCTTAGTCAACCCCCTGATAATGAAATTATCCTGAAGCCTGAACCAAAGCCTGCAACGACGTGCTGGTGCTAAATAACAGTCTTTATTATATTATCTAATTTTGGCTAAAGAAATACTTTTCAAGTATGACAGTAATAAGTCATAAGATTTAATCTCAACTGTAATGGGTCATCTTGACACTGTGCTGTTTGTCATTGTCACGCTTTTGTATTTTGTATCTACTTAAGTTTGTCACTGTGACAACACAGGAAAAGTTGGTTTTCAGGTGAGATTGAAAATGAAGCAAAGATAGGATGAATCTGAACATCTCTCCATCTAGAGCCCAATGAAGGAAGCTTCAAATGAGAACATGATGGAATGTAAAGAATCAGTAACCGTTCCATGTTGTGTTCCTAGGATTGGAATAAAATATTAAAGGTTTAGCACACACCTAATAGTATGTCCTTTAAATGGGAAGTGTTCTTAATAGAGTAAAAACTGGTATTTGCCTCTCCCCAGAGTACTTTTTTTGTTTTTTGGTAGAGACAGGGTCTTGCTATGTTTCCCAGGCTGGCCCTGAGCTCCTGGGCTCAAGCAATCCTCCCACCTCAACCTCCCCAGTAACTGGGACTGTAGGTACTCACCACTGCATCTGGCCTTTCTTTGTTTTACTAACATATTTAGTTTTGTTATTATTGGTAGTTTTAGAGCTAACACTTCAGTTCCAGTGGGATAAGAAGGCACAGAATGTTTCCTGGTTCCCAATCCATAAAGAATGACTTTTCCAAGAGTTCTAGATGTTTGATTTTCTAATTAATATTTATCAGATCTACAAAAATCATTGTTATTTTTAAAAGAGTTATTTGAGTTACTTTCTTTTTTTTTTTTT